GAGCGGCCACTGCACTTCAGTCTGGGCGACAGAGTGAGACTCCAACTCAAAATAAATAAATAAATAAATAAATACAATAAAATGGCCAAAGGACTTGAATAGTCCTTTGGAATTTTTCCAAACGAGCTATACAGATGGTCACTAAGCACATGGAAAGATGCTCAACGTCACTAATCATTAGGGAAATATACATCAAAATCAAACACAATGAGATGCCACCTCATACCCATTAGGATAACTTCTGTCAATGAAACTACAGGAAAAAAAACTAACAGAAAATAACAAGTGTCGACAAGTATGTGGTGAAATTGGAGCCCTCATACACTGCTGTTGGAAATGTAAAACAGAATTATTATATAATCCAACAATTCTGCTTTTGGACATACATACAAAAAATTGAAAGCAAGGTCTCTAAGAAATATTTGTACAGCCATGTTCACAGCCGCATTATTCACAATAGCTAAAAGTTGGAGCAACTCAAGTGTCTATCAACAGATTAATGGTTAAGTAAAATGTGCTATATACATAGTGGAATTTCTTTTTTTTTTGAGTTGGAGTTTCACTCTGTCACCCAGGCTGGAGTGCAGTGGCACACTCATGGCCATTGCAGCCTCGACCTTTTGGGCTCAGGAGATCCCTCCACCTCAGCCTTCCAAGTAGCTAGAAAACTACAGGTGTTCACCACCACGCCTGCCTAATTTTTTGGTTTATTGTAGAGACGAGGTCTTGCTGAGTTGTCCAGGCTGGTCTCAAATCCCGGGACTCAGGAAATCCTCTTACCTCTACCTCCCAAAGAGTTGGAGTTACAGACGTGAGCCACCACTCCCAGCCATACATAGTGGAATATTATTGAGCCTTAAAAAGAAAGAAAATCATGTCACATACTTACAGCATGGATGGGCCTTGAGACATTGTTAAGTGAAATAAGCCAGTCAGAAAAAGACAAATATTGTGTAATTCCGCTTACATGAAGTACTAAGTATAGTCACATTTATAAAGACACAAAGTAGAATGGTAGAAGGCAGGACTTAAGATAAGGGGGAATGGAGGATTATTGTTTAATCGATTTTGAAAGATGAAGAATTCTGGATGGTGGTGATGGTTGCGTAACAAACGTAAGCGTACTTCATACCACTGGATTGCACACTTAATGGTTAAGATGGCAAATTTTGTGTTGTATCTTAACTACAGTTTTAAAAATTAGACAAAGCACTACTGGTAAAAAAGCCTATGATTTAGACGTATCTTACCTCTAGCTGATGCTGCTATGAGACTTCAGTGTTCAGGCTTCAAGATACAGGGGTTTACAAAGCATTAGTGAGTGTATGGAAATCGAACTCCCATGATTGTAGGACTGCTACTTATTGATTATTGGAGCCAGCTCTAATGTACAAGGGGGACCCAAAAAACCCCAGGCTTTACATATAAAAAGTTGTGTCTTTATTCTTACATGTTTAAACTTCAGTCACCTTCAATATACTCTCCATTTGATGCAGTACACCCATCAAGATGCTTTTTCCACTGCCCAAAACAGTTTTGGAACTTGTTAATTTTGATGCCTTTTAGTGTTTCTGCCATTTTTTGTTTGACCTCTTCCACATCTGCAAAACTTTTTTCATATAGCGAAGCAAAAAAAAAAAAAAAGTCACTTGGGATGAGATTGGACAAATAGGGAGGGGTAGGGGGTTCATGCTGTTTTTGGTCAAAACTACTGCTTATTCAGCACAGTATGAGCAGGTGCATTGTCATGGTGGCAGAACCAATCACCTGATTGCCACAACTTAGGACATTTCTTCCTCAAATCATGGCACAACCTTCTCAAAACTGCCAGATAAAAACTTTGGTTGACCATTTGATTCATAGGATCAAATTCTGAGTGTACTACGAGGGACCCACCCTCCAAAAGATAATTCTGGTTTTTTGTTTTTGTTTCTGACATTCTTAGAGCGGTACCAACACAAGTTAGAATGGGTTTGCAATAAGTGTCTTAAGATTTCAAGTGTAAGGCTGGGTGCAGTGAGTGGCTCATGGCTGTAATCCCAGCACTTTGGGAGCTGAAGGCAAGAGGATTGCCTGAGCTCAGCCTGAACAAGGCCTCGTCTCTGCAATAAATAAAAAAATTAGCTTGGTGTGATGACTCACACCTGTGGTCCTAGCTACTTGGAAGGCTGAGGTCCAAGGACCACCTGAGCCCAGCAGGTCAAGGCTGTGATAGCTGTGAGCATGCCACTGCACTCCAGGCTGGGCGACAGTGAGACTCTGACTCAATCTTAAACTACTTTGTGTTGTTTCTGGAAATGATGGATAACCCATCACGTGATTTTGGCTTCATTTATATACTCCCATATGTTTTCTTATTTAATAGACATATAGATCACAATAAGAATGGATTTGCGTGCCAATAAATCTGATTTTTGGTGTTCTGTTCTAAATTTAGATATCCAAAGAGAGGAAGAAAAAGTGAAACGATCGGTAAAAGATGCTGCCAAGAAAGGCCAGAAGGACGTCTGTGTAGTTCTGGCCAAGGAGATGATCAGGTCCAGGAAGGCTGTGAGCAAGCTATATGCATCCAAAGCACACATGAACTCGGTGCTCATGGGCATGAAGAACCAACTCGGTAAGGCTGAGTCACCTCCGGCTACCACGAGTGCTGGTGTTGCTGCTTTTGTTGTCAACATGAGCTCCTTGAATAGAAGGAACTCACCTCTGACTTATGTTCTGTATATTGTTTCCACTGGGTGTTGTTCAAGTGCAAAATATAGTAGTATTTTATTGCTATTCATTTTCTTTTGCCAGTGTTTTCTGGTAACAAAATCTACATATAAATCTGCTTGCTTAGAAGTCAGGACATATTGGAAAATATTATCAAGTGACCTGAGAATGGAGTTGTGGGAGAAGAGACCCAATGTGTGTGTTTGGAGGGAAGATGAAGAAAATGTGTCTGTCCTCCCTTTTTCCTAGGCCCAGGGCAGCCCAGGCAAAACTTTAGAACAGGCTGCTGGGCTTTGATTCAGGTCCTTTTCTGCCTTGTCTCTGACTATCTACCTAATGCTTCCTTGTGAATCTGCACACTACGTAGTGGCTATTCAGCATAACATTCATTTATTCATTTTAGATGACTTAGAAACTCATGATATTTAAAGTAAAAATAATCATTTCATTTCCTTTCATTGTCTAGTACAGTACTACTTATGGTCTTTTACAGATACCTGTTTCCAGGTCAGTGCCAGCTTGAGTCATAGGTTAAATTTACATCCAGTTGGTTTCTTTTCTTACTTAGTTTCTGTTAAATTAGGAAATCCTAACTCAGAATTATTCCTGGGTAATAGCGGCAAGTGACTGTCAGCTATGTAGCTTGAACACAGACTCAGAAGTCATGGAGAAGTCAGGCATGGTGGCGTGCATCTGCAGTTTCAACTACTCAGGAGGCTGGAGCCTAGGAGTTCAAGGCTGCAGCGTGCTGTGCTGGCTCCAGTGAATAGCCACTGTACACCATCCTGGGCAGCATGGCAAGAGTCTGGTTCTAAAAAGGAAAGAAAGAAATTATGGATACATTTTTCACTAAAGAATAGTTTCAACTCTGTCAGATACTTCTTTGATAAGTTTATCACACTCAACATAATTTAGAAGGTTGGATGTTTTAATTTATAGGGTGGTGTCAGATAAGGTTCCAATGCATTATTTGATTGTATTTGTCTCTGGAAGTATTTCTTCATGTTCAATATTGACATTTGAATGCGGCTTTTAAATATGCCTAACAATGAATGTATCATTACATTAGTTTCTCCAAATACTGAAGAGAATAATCATGGGTTAGGAAAGAGTAAAATATATGACAAACTGTACCACATGTTCTTTAAGATATCTATAAGAATTAGCTTCACTTTTTAAAAATTGTTTTTTGAGTCGCCCAGTTTGTAGTGCAGTGGCACGATCATGGCTCACCATAGCCTTGACCTCCTGGGCTCAGGTAAACCTTTAGCCTCAGCCTCCTGAGTAGCTGGAACTACAGAGCACCTCCACATCTGGATAATTTTCTTATGTTTTTGTAGAGACAGTGTCTTGCGTGTGTTGCCCAGACTGGTCTCAAACTCTTGGGCTCAAGCAATCCTCCCACCTTGGCCTCCCAAAGTGCTGGGATTATAGGCATGAGCTACCATACTCAGTCTATCTTCACTTTTAAAGACCATGTTATTTCAGCCCTCAAGTGGTGAATTTAGGCTCCTGAAATACTGGCTATATCACCTAGATATACCCTTTGATCAAGCTAAGTAGTCAGTGCCATAAAGAAATAGTGTGATTTCATCTGCTATTTGGAAAGCTCAAGTTTAAATAGTCTCTTACAGCCAATTTTGCAAGTTTAATATGTATTCCCTGTTTTTTCTGCAATATGCCAAAAAGATGTGTGTTCAGTTGAGCATGATAAGCTTGTTTAAATTTTTGTCACTGGTTTCTTTGCTGAATCATGTTGCTTATCTTGTCCTTTTCCCTCTGTGAATAAAGCAGTGTATGCATGGCCTCTTTCCCCCCCGATTGTGAAGATAAACGCTGAGGATAGGATAAATAAGGGTGTATGTAGCACTCATCCAGAACCAGTAAAATTTAGTATTTTGTTGTATTTGCCTGCTTTTGTTAGAGAAGTAGAACATTATTATTAAAGTTGAAGTTCCTTTAATTCCCCTTCCTAAATTCATAATTCCCTTCCCTTCCATCCTTCCCGAGGAAACCACTGTCATGAATCTTAAAACTTATATAAATGGAGTTATACTATATAAACCATTCTGTATCTTTTCTCCCCATTTATCATTGTGTTTTGAAATATGCTTGTATTGATAAATATAGAGCTAGTCCATTCGTTTGAACTACTGGATGGAATTCCATCATATGAGTACATCACATTTTATTTTTCTGTTCCCTCATTGATGGACATGGGTTGTTTCCCATTTTTGCTGTGTGTAAAGGTTTAGGATGGTTGTATACTAGGAGGAGAATTGGTGGGTAAATAGCTGAGTTTAAATTTTGCTGGAATTAAAAATTGTTCTCCAAAGAAGCTTTACTGATTTCTATTTCCAGCAGCAAAGGATGAGTTTTTTTCCATACCTCTTCACCAATGCTTGATATTGCCAGACTTTTTCATTTTTGAGAAATGTTGTCTTGGTTTAATTTTTCTTTTGAAGCTACTGAACTTGAACACTCTCTTCTCTTTACGCTTTCTTCCTGTGTAGAGAGTGCAAAATACCTTTTCAAGTAGTTGTAATCATGAGTAATTATTGGCTGGGCTCGGTGGCTCAGCCTGTCATCCCAGCACTTCGGGAGGCCAAGGCGAGTGGATGGCCCGAGCTCGCAGGTTCGAGACCAGCCCGGGCAACCTGGCGAGACCTCGTCTCTACAAAAAATAAAACAGAACTGGACGTGGTAGCGCACGTCTATAGTTCCAACTACTCGGAAGGCTGCGGCGGAAGGATTGCTAGAGCCCAGAAGGTCGATGCTGGGGTGGCCCTGAGCATGCATGCCACTGCACTCCAGTCTGGGCAAAGGAGCGAGACTCCAACTCAAAAAAAAAAAAAAAAGTAATCATTAATCTGCATGAAAAAAATCAAACTTTGTATCATATACTTTTAGCAGTAGACAAAACAAAAGCTCTCTTATGTACTGCTTATATCTCAAGAACCTATTTAAATATACACCCGCAACGATATTTTGCATTGTTTGTTTCAAATCCATATCGTGGCATTAGCACCATTGAACAGTCTTGGAATGTTAAGATGCTGCAGGGCTCCATTCTAGGTCCCCTGGTTGAACTCATCTAACTCTGTGCCTTTAAATGCCATTGATTCTTACATTTTTATCTTCAGGCCTGGCTTTATCTCTCAGTGTGTAGTTGGCATCTCCACTCAGGTGTCTTCATGGGAGTCTCAGAATTAGTATGCCTATGCAAAAAATCTTGGTTTGCTTTCCTCTACAACTTGCCGTTCTTCCAATATTTCTCATCTCTTTTAAATGGAACCGTCATCTACCCAGTTTCCTTGGGCCCAAAACCTAGGATTTGTCCTTAATTTCCTCCTTTCTTTCATGATCCCATCATTTGGCCTCCAACGTAGAGCTTCATATTTTCCTACTTATGTAAGTTGTGGCGTCTTAGTTCAAGCTAGGATCATCTCTTGCCTGGGTTTCAGAAGCCTCTTAATTGCTTCCTTGCTTATATACTCACTCAGCTACAGTTCATACTTCTTCACATAGCATTCAAATGATCCTCATGAAATGAATGTGTGATCATGGCATTTTACTTAAAACACTGTGGCTTCTCAGTGCATTGAGATTAAAACCCAAATTCTGGCTGGGCGCAGTGGCTCAATCCTATAATCTCAGCGCTTTGGGAGGCCAAGGCGAGAGGATTGCTAGAGCCCAGCAGTTGAAGACCCACCCGGGCAACTTGACGAGACCTCATCTCTACAGTAAATCAAAAAATCAGCCTGGCATGGTAGCGTGTGCCTGTAGTTCCATATACTTGGAGGGCTGAGGCGGAAGAAGGATCGCCTGAGCCCAGCAGGTCAGGGCTGCGGTGGCTTTGAGCAGCGTGCCACTGCACTCCAGCCTGGGTGACAGTGAGACTCCTACTCAAAACAAACAAACAAACAAAAACCCCCAAATTCCTGGTGTGGTTTCTAATGCCGGATAGAGTTTGACAGTTGTTCTAACCTCATCTCCTTTTCTCCCCCTCTACTATATTCAGCCATACTGGTCTTTATATTCCAGGAACTGGCCGAGCTTATTCCTATCGTAGAACATTCACACTTGGTGTTTTCTCTGCCAGGCACTTTCCCCCCATCTCCTTGTAATTCAAGCATTTGCGTCGCAGTTCAGATTCAGGCATTGAGAGTGGCCTTTCCTAAAGTGCCCCCTTCCACCACACACACATTATTATCCAACGTTCCCTTTAATTTCTTTATATTTCTTAAAAATATCTAAAATTGACTTGCTCATTTATTTTTTTATTTTCAGTTGGAGTCTTACTCCGTTGTCCAGGTTGGACATTGTCCAAGTGACACGCTTGTGGCCACACCAGCGTCGATATACTGGGCTCTGGCGATCCTTCTGTCTCAGCCTTCTAAGTAGCCAAAACTACAGGCGTGTGCTCCTGTGCCCGGCTAATTTTTGATTTATTGTAGCGACAAGGTCTCGCCAAGTTGCCATGGCTGGTTTCAAACCCATGGGCTCAGGCAATCCACTCAACTCGGCCTCCCAAAGTTCTGGGCTTAGACTGAGCCACTGAGCCTGGCCTGCTCATTTATTTATTTATTTATTTATTTATTTATAATTTCCATTTTTATTTGATGTTTCCAAATATAAAAAAGTCAAGATTCTTACACTGATTATCTCAAATGAGACCATGCAAAGCAACTCAGTGTGTACAACAATCATTTCTCCCTTTGGCTCTGCTTTGTAATTCGATTGCTCATTTATTTTTAACATGTTTGTTGTTTTTCTCCTCCCACTAGAGCCAGGAACCTTGTCTAATCTGTCTAGCCCACTAATACATCTCTGACTTCACAAACAATGTCTGGCTTGGTTGATGTTTGTAAAAAGAATGAATCTACTGGCATCTTTAAGTGGTGG